CCCCAAAACCCCAAAACCCCAAAACCCCAAAACCCCAGGCAAGGCAAAAATAGTTGAAAATTCTCGAAATTTATCCCTAATCCATAATATTCACCAAAGAGCCAGTTTAGGAATTATTTTATCAAAGTATATGATAAAAATGGTTAATGAGAGATTAGCATTCTGCTAACACAAAAGCTAATGATACACTAAAGGCATTATTTCTGTATTAACTTTCATCTAAGCTTAATGAGAAACTAAGCCAAAACCCTGAGAGAGCAATTTCTTTCAGTAAAATTTATTTCAGAGATTTTCACTTAAGCGTAAAGTTCAGCAAAACTGACTTTCTTTTTCCTCTGAGAAGGATTTCTAAAGATTAAGATAATTGTACTTTGGATTGGTTTCTCTTAAACTCATTTTTGGCAGAGAAACTTGATTCAATTCATCAACCTCTTGACTCATTTCTGTTGGCTGAGTTATATCTAAAACATTAAGAAGAATAGATACACAAATCCGCATGTTCTGACTGTCTTCCTTCTCAATATCTACCAGCTAAAAATAACAATTCCCCTCAAAAATACATTTTATAAGCCTATCTTCAGTAACCAATTAACGACCCATAATCCACCAAGGAGCTCTAAGAATCCCCAAAAGAGGTCAGATAACAACTCTAAAGCTAAGAATGACTCAATAACGGAAGACTTAATAAAATATAGTGGAGTAGAAAAAATTTTGATAAACAAGTTTTGAGGTTTTATGCGTAGGGGAATTTAATTGTGTTGAGGGAGGAGAGTTTTAGTGGTGAGGGGATTGTGGGGGGAGGGGATGTAGAGGGGGGAGAATGTAGGGAGGAGAGAAGACTTACCTTGGGAAGTGTTTTGATGGGGGAGACTATGTTTGATATAGAAATACTAACCTTTGTCTGTCTTTGAGTATCTTTTTCGATTTATTTTGCTCTCCTTTGTTTTTGAGGGGTATCTTTATTTTTAGTGAAGCAGAATTTTGGCTTAAAAGCAGGCTCCTTTCCCAGAATCAAGGAGACAGTATCTTTTAACGATTCAGAGGTGAAAAGTTGAGGATCATCAGGGACTCATTCATCGCTATAAAAAGCTAAGTTCTGGCCAAATCATCGACATTACCTTCCATCATTCCTAAAAGCTTTACGCCTTTCAGTTCTATGATGATTATGATAGCGGAGGTTATTTTCAAATAAAGTGTCGATTAATGAATCCTCTTCAGCTATAAAATATGTGAGTAAAGTCACCAAATGAAAGGTTGATCTAACTATCTTGTGAATTTTAAGATTGATTGTAGAACTTACATTGCAATTTTTGGTCTTCTAATGATTCCTCAGGGTTTGCAGAATCAGATATGCTGTAGAGCTCAGCAAAGGTTAATCTGGTTGATTTTGATTGGGCCATTTCACAGTTTGAGTTAGTAAAACTATATAAAATTAGCCCACATTTTAGCTTAATTCTTCCATAAAAGAGCAGAAATGAACTTTAGGAAGCTAAATTAGCTTAGAAACTCTCTTAAATCTCAAATCAAACGTTTTTATCCCTAAAATCCCTTTCAAAATTTCCAAAGGTCACCAATGCATACTTATATTCTAGATATCAATATTTTATATCTCCCTAGGGGTTTTGGGGTTTTGGGGTTTTGGGG